GGCCATGAACCCAAACAGTTGCGAACACACCGCAGACGTAGCCTTAGCACGAATGTGAAGTTAAGGCCCAGGTATGATGGCTTAGGCCGAGGCTTAGCGTCAGCCTAAGCATAGCTTTAGTCTCAGCCTAAGCATAGCTTGAGTCTCAGCCTAAGCGTGAGACTGAGGCTTCGCTTAGGCTAGGGCTGAACGTAGCCTCAGCCTGTGTAAGGAGAGCTGAGGCTTGAGCTGTTTAAGAGGGCAGTTTTAAACAGCTCAAGCGTAGTGAATCCTTACTTATTGTTAGTTGTGAACGGCGAGGCTACGCCTACTGCGCATCACCATTATAGTGCCGTTGTGCGTGTGCATCCTCACCGTTCCCCACTAAGGACGCACTAGTGCCGTTTGTTCTTCCCAAGCTGCCATGATTTTAAAAAATCTTTTGGAATTTCAGTCGAAAAATATTTGTAGCTCACACAATAATTCAGTATTGTAGCATAAAGTCATCAATGTTTGAAGCATAAAGTTACATTCCTATACATATCAACATTTTTTCTATGATATCAAGTTACATACATCATTTCTCTGCAGTGTGTTTCAAATGCGATGAAAATACAAAAAGAAAAACAAAAATAAAGAATAAATTCAATCGAATTCAAGAAGCACGTTTATCCTTGAACAATATCGCAATCATTTGATCGAAATTGCAATGCTACGCCAGTGGAGTGAGTATGTGAGTATTCGGAATCATAATTGTCCATTTGAAATGTCAGCAATAAATGAGGGGATCGACAGCAGATCTTGATCAAGTTGATTTGTCGTAAATTTAATGGTTATTTAAGAGAAGAAAACGAATGGACAAAATGCACTATTAGAATTATGACTGATTCTATAAGTGAAGGAACTATTCAATAGCAGTCAGTGAACATAACAATGAGTATTTCAAATGAATGTGTTTGATATAGCAGGTGATGCTGCTCTCGGAACTGATTCATCTTGTTCGTTAGACTTTTTTTNAATGTTTATTAGAACAAGGAATTATTAATGTAAACTGACACAGTGTCAATAGCAGAGCAGGAAGTAGTGGCATAACTGTGAGATAATGGAGCATTCATGATGAATTATTCATTTTATTACTTCCATGAACAGATAAAATTTTGCAGTGGTTGAAAGGACTTTGATTTGAACTGTGTCTTTTGTCTATTGTTATTGTTTTGTGCACGAAGAATGTTGCGTTCAGTGAAGTGAGATTCGCGCAGGGCAGTGAATAATTAACGATATTGTGCGGGATTGCAATATAGATGGAATACTTCCCGAGATGGAATTCAGCTTTATCGTGTTTTTATTCAGAAGTACAATCAGTCAGGCAAGCAGTCATAGCAACGTTTGTAACTCCACTGGAATTCACATGGTGTCAGCCGATCGAGCTCTTCGCTAGGCTCTGACAAGATTGCAACGCGTTCAACTTAGCCATCGCAAATTTCTTGGTATCATCGAACATTGCCATGTTCCACTGTGATACTGAAAGCATGCACATCATTTGCATGCTTTCAATATCAGCTAACAAGCGCAAAATGCTCACGATCAGTTCATGTGGAGGAATTTTTGGGTTTTGTGCATAATTTTTGGCGAAGGATTTATTTGCAAACGATTTGAACTTGGATCAAATTTATTGTTCTTACTTACTGTTAGAATTGTCAGTAAGAAATTTGTCCATGAAAAGGAACACTCGCAAAAATTTCATTTCAATTGCAAAATGCTATGTGTCGGGATGCAATATAGATAGAATGCTATCTAACATCGCCATATTCAAGTCAGTTACATGGCTCAGTGATTTATTCGCCAAGGAAACATAATGATAGTCCAAAAAAATTTCCAGATTTTGAATGGGGTTGAGGTCGTGCTTTATCGATACATCTCAGTTAATATTGCTGCCGTTTAGCTGAATTCTTTCATGCAGAGACA